GTGGTTCCTATTTTTGTGGTTATATTTAGGACCCTCTAAGGTAATCCCAAAAAGGAACTACTATGGAGCCTCTGGGTAAGGGTCTCGATAACTTTGCCACAGTTGGGTAACATGTTACATGTTTACGAATACTTAAACCCAATAAGGAGTAAGATTCATAATTTGTGAATATGATCCCATCCCTGTAAGAAACGGTTCGTGCAAGGAATTCGGGGGGACCTCTAGTGGGCTCTAGGGCTTGCTGTTAATACGGTTGATGATATAAATCTTGCATTACCCATTATGAGGGATATACCAGAATTCCCATAGCTTAGGGCCCTTAAGGTAATGCAGGATTTCTATCATCAGCAGTGGGAATTCTGGGGCTTAAAGAGTTACGGTGAAGCAATTCCTGTGGTCACGACCGTGAGGTTGACAGATCCCTAAACCCTAAACCCCTCAAAATCTCCTAGTTAAGGGATCCGAAAACGAGCCCTAAGCTCTAAATGGGACTTCGGGTTAAAGGCATCACTTCCGCTTTTCAGGGCCTTGGGTTTAGGGCTTTTAGGGTTTAGGGTTTAGGGTTTGGGCTGAACCCGGAAAGCATCTTCGGACTCTTAGCATCAAGCTTCGGGCGGCCGAAACTCCTTGAAACGGCTACAGTTCATCCGATGGCATTGAGACAAACCCGACGCCTTCACGTCGTGGCATTTCCGAGAGGCCCCCGAAACCCAACTCCAAAATCCCGAGTTTGTGAGCGCCTAAACACGCTGGAGCCTTGTATGTTGATGATGACAGCGCGAGGGTTAGGTTCATCAGCCCCATCCCCTCGATTCCAAGTTCCTAAACTCTAATGCAGAAACCCTAAGAATTACAAACGTTAGCCCACAGTGGTCCTCATTATAACTCTGCTATCATGTACCCCAAAACCCTATTCTGATCATTAAGGCGGCGATTGTAGAACAGATCTTCCTCAGCCGAAACATGAGTGGTGATGCGTCCTCCGCAGCGCCGGGTTCCTCCGGGAGGATGAGGACTCGACTAAAGGGGTCAGATGGCGTCCTCTATCGTAGTCTCATGGTGCTCCTCAAATACTGAAGTATGCATGCAATTCAGCCCCATCGTAGTTTCATAGTGCTCCGTAATTACAAGTTTCTGTATATTATATAGCGTCGCACATGTCCAGAATCATCATTCGATTTTTCTGGCCTCTGTAAACCGATCGGGTGGATGGTAGTGCTTCAGAAGTATCATCACGGATTGCCGTCGGGAGTCACAGCTTCGCTGCTTGGGGAACAAGCTTTTGGAGCAGCTTTTGGGCTGGTGGAGTTCAGGGTTTTGAGAGGGTTTCCGCTTTAGGGTTTACGGGGCTTGGGACTTATCGTTCGTTTTTGGCTAAAGGAGCCGTTTAAGTCACATGTTGAGGGTGTGGGGGTTGGGGTTAAACCTAGGAGCGTCGTCCGTATCCTTGATATATAATGTACCAGCAGTAGAAGTTACTTATATTTCTAAGGACATGATTGTTGTTCATATGCAGAAAGTAGATGCTGCTGGCGAAGCCATGGGTTAAAGGGTGAGAGCTGAGGATGAGAGGCCTCCATGCATTTGCGCTTTCAGCCTTCAGTGCCTGGCAGGAGGTTTAGGGTTTAGGGTTGAGGGTTTAGGGAAAATGTGGAGCAGAACGAAATTCTTGACAAGAGTTGGCCTCCACTGAAATTTCTCTTCGCTATACTCCATATAAGCCCTAAACTACTTATCCGCGCACCCCCAAACCCTGGACTGAATAGACTGCCTACCCATAGGCTCCTAAGTAGTTCCTTTTTGTGGTCCATATTAAGAATCCTATAAGGTAATCCCAAAAAGGAACTACTAAGGAGCCTATGGGTAGACTGCCTGACCTCAGCCTGAAGCCGATAATGCTACTAAGCGGGAACCGCGCTTGGGGAGGAAGCCGCGTGTGGGTCTAAACACTTCGGCCGGCGTCTGAGATCTGCTCCGTCGGTAGGGTCTTGAGGCCAAGGGCTCGCAAGGTAATGGTCTTCGGATTCATAGGGTCTTGGGGTTCAGTTCAGGATTTAGGAGTTTCAGGGCTTTTCACAGAGTTATCCTTTGGTCGGATGATTGCCCCGATTACTGTAGGGGGTTTGAGGGTTTAGGCGCATGGGAATCCGACTGTCGGGCCCGGTCTCGACAAGCAAGTAAGGATGTGTGAGGCAAGGATATGGGGTAGTTCTTTGAATTAGGGTCCCCCAAAATAGTACCGGCACCCTTAATAAAGAGGATCCAAAAAAGGGACCCCTAGTTTAGAGCACTACCCATATGCATGCAGCCGTGTTGGACGGTGATGGCCGCTCTTTGGTGACCGAGATCGGAGCTACCCACTCGTACTGTCAACTCAAGTATTGAAACAAAAGGTGAATCGAAGCAGTTTCTCCTGTGCAACAGGAATACAGAAGCAGCATTGTTCCGCAGATATCTCCCCACGTTTAGCGCAACATTCTGCATGCAATAAAAGGGGGCTTATCTCCTAGAGCGAAAAGAGATTCCATTGTCATGCAGCAGTTTTTCCATGCTCCGTGACAGAAGCAGGCCAGTTGATCCGAAGTCCGAGATCCCTATACCCGTGACTGACACTAAAACCCCTAAACCCTAAACTGCGCAATTCCATGGTGTAGGATTTCTGTACTTCTGCGGTGAGTAATTATTAATTGTTTCAGACTCGTGTCGAGAGTTGAGTTGCAAGGAGGAGGTGCAAAGTCACCGTGATTTCCGTAGACATTAGGAGCTGCATACCCTAAACCCTAAACCCTAAACCTTAAAACCCGACATAACCCCCTACAGATCCTACGCCTCTAAACCCGAAAAGCATGGATCCTCTTGACCCGACAGAACCTAAACCCCAAAAGCTCGAAATTCCTAAACCCCCCTAAAAAAACCCACCTAAAGGCCCTAAAAGGTCCCAAAAATGTGGGTGGGTAGTTCTCTAAATTAGGGTCCCTCCTTTAGTTTCCGAAATCGTATGGCGTCTTTTAGGAAAGGGGGCCCTACAAGGGACCCTAACTTTGAGAGAACTACCCGAGCAGAACCCCTGTAGTACCCTTATGGAAACCCTTACCCTTCTAGATCCCTTGAAGGAGCCCAGAAGAAGGGAACATAATTTAGAGAACTACCCGTGTGCAGGGCGTCTTCGAAGCACCTGAGGCTCTTAGCTCCATTTTGTCTTCGAACAGACGGACGAATGCCCGAATGGCAGCTGCCCGAGCATTGGGCGATGCAGAGTGTCAGGGTTTCGGGGTTTTCTGGCTTTGGCGTTTTGGGGCTTGGGGTTATAGGGGTGCAGAAGGAGAGAATGCGGTGTGTTAGAGTTGCCGATGTACATGCTGGACCTCCTTTTGCCTGTGGTTTGTTCAAAGCTCACATAGCTGAAGCACAACACGGCTTGAGGCCAGGGCTTAGCATCAAACGACTTTGTACAAACCGATGCCCTCAAAGCCCACAGAGCTTGTTTGCCTGTGTTTTCGCAAAAAAAGAGCTCGCTCGTGCATGGAAGAGCCAGCTGCTTTGACTGCATAAGCCTTTTCAGCGGAGACCTGCGACTTTCAGTTCCAAACTACAATGTTTCGGTCAAAACTTATTGGCACCGAAACACCCAACTCCCTAAATTCTAGCAGTCCAGGTTTTGGTGTCTAATGTTCGTTTTGGAACACATTAGGAGGCCGAAATGGGCCCGACGCTGGAGGCTCTGCTTTGGAACCCCTTTAGGGTTTAGGGTTTTTATAGAAATTGTAAAGGGTTTGGGTGCAAAAGCGTGTTGACCGAAAGTTTTGACTGAAACATTTGACCGAAAGCTCCGAGGGTTAGGCTGGGGCTCGGCTGGGTTGAGCGGGGCTGGGTGGTGGGCGTGTGCTGAGCTGTAGGGGTTGGGCTGGGGTGGGGTGGTCTGTGGCTGGGGCTGGGGTGGGGCTGAAGGGCTGAAGTTTGTGGCTTGGGGTTGGGGTGAGCTGCTGGCTATGGAGGGTTTAGGCGTGGGCTGGGCTGGGTTGGGGGGCTGGGCTGGGCTATTGCGGCCTGAAACGGAAATTGGTTTGTAGACATTGGGAAGGCCGTGTCCGACCAATACTCGACCACTCGATTTTGCCATTTTGAAACCGGCCTACTTCGCGGCCTGGCCAACAGCAACAAGAAATTTATATTTATTATTTCTGATCTTGAGGGTTTAGGGGTTAGGGTTTGGGGGTTTAGGCAACCTAAAGTTTTGAAAATTCCTAAACCTACCCGAAACCCATATCATAATACGTTCATATACCCCGACGGCCCCGACACCCTGCTCTGACTATTCAAGCCTCGTTGATACAACCCTCGACGAAAAACATCCTGAAGCCCCGACCCTGAACAACATAAAACCTGAACCCCGAACCCCTGGAGCCAAAAACCGTAATTACCTGAAGCCCACACCCTAAACCCCAAACCCGGAAACCTATAACCCCTAAACCCGGAAACCTAAAGCCTTAAGCCACAGCTCGCAAGAGAAGGATCGCACACAGTTCGAGGCCGCAGAGAAGGAGCTTAGGCCTGGCATTTAGGGCCATTTAGGGTTGAAGGTTTAGGGTTTAGGGTAGGGTTGAGGGTTTAGGGTTTAGGGTTTCAGGGGCTTAGGGGTGTCAGTCTAGACATGTCAACAGCCAGCCTCCTTGCACCGGGTTCCATCACAGGCATGAGGCATGCTACATTCAGTAGTCTCGTTTTCTTGTTGTTAAGCTAAGCCTAAAGCCAGTCAGGAACGGCAGCTAATTCAATTTCGACATTACCTCACTGGGCACCTGTGTCGTAGAACCGTTCCTGCATCAAAAAAGTCAGAACCAATCGATGATGACCGATCATGGTGAACCAGGCCACAAGCTGCGATTGTCGGTATCCCGAATCAGCAAAGTAAAGTATCAGCGTGATGAAATTTGGCACGCAGGCTGGTCATTTCTGCGCTCGAGACTAGGAACAGGCTTCCACTCAGGGCTTTGTCAGCTATGGAGCCAGCGCAGCTCCCAGCCGGAGCTAACCAGGATGAAGATGTCTTCGCCGGAGTGAGCCGCTCGCGGCAGATCTCTCCAGTGCCAGAGCAAACGGCCGCTGTTCCTGCTCTTGCTGAAGACCTCATTGCTCGAACGGTGTGCCGGATGGTCCCAGTCTCTCCAGACTTGCTCCGGGCTACACGAGCCGGCGATGTGTTCCGAGGCTTCGGCAAAGCCCTGCGTGGGTCCAAGAAGCTTCATCGGTTGCTTAGGTGAAGGTTTCGGTGGCTTTATCCTTTTAGTTTGTGACCCCACGTCAAACAGAGAGGTAAACCTCTGCCTCTCATAGGAAACGTCGCAAGTGAGGTTGAGCTACCAGACCAAGAAGATTAGCGTGTTTTGGAGTCACAGTTGGCATGGTTCAACTTGGCGAAAGCACATGACTCTCCTGCTCTTCTACAACGGCGCAACTGCGGCAGTCATCGCATGTCTCGGCTCGGCTGTTACATCTGTCCTTTTTGCGTCAGAGTTGTTGCCCGTCCTTAAAGGACCAAACAACTTTACAGAAGACTTGCCCTATGCGCATTGGCAATCTTTCTGGGCAGCCCTTGTCGGCATGATCCTGTACATCTTGGTGCTGTTGTTCTGGAGACCCGTTGATTCCATCTTCTTTGATGTGACCTGCATAGACCAATGGAATCCCGAACGCAAAGGAAAAGGATTACTGAGCATCGGTGCATTCCTAGAGGCTTCACGCTCCATGCTAATTCTTTGGGATGCCACGTACAGCGATCGCTTGTGGACAATGTTTGAGGTAGCTGCCTTCTTGAGGAGCCGGGAAGAAGGCGAGACGCCAAAAGTCGTTCTGAGGCCCACGATCCTAGGCCCTTCCTACCTCTTGCTGATGCTGACGGTGATTCTCGTTCTCAGCGTTGGTGACATTGTCAGTGTGCACCTCTCAGCCAGCGGCCGCTACGTGCTGTGGTCACTTCAATTCTTGATTTGCTTCTGTGGACTGGCCGCTAACACGGCCACTTTCAGAGAGTATTTTCGATCAGTGAGTAATTCCCAGGAGCAAGTGGCAGGTTGGCGTCTTGCAGATGTCAAATGCTCCTGCTGTGACACCGGGCATGTTTGTGGTGGGCTCTGCGACCGAGAGGTTGTACTCAAGTGCATCTGTCAGTGGTTCGGCAACCTGGAACATTTCGAATCTCGCGTGCAAACGGAGATCATGGACACGTTTGTACACGAGCAGTCCAGGCAACCCTTCACGTACTCACAAGTTGTGATTGCTCTCGTCCCCATTCTTTGGAGCTACCTGGACAGGGCTTCAGCATATGCTCGCTTCACCGAGTGGGATCCATGGTTGCAGGCATCCTGTCAGATCGCAAGGGGACTGACTTGGTGGTTGGGGGTCGGTCCTGTGGCATTTCTGGCCCAGTGTCGGCTCGCATTTCGCTTCCAGAGGAAGTGCAAGCGGGCACGATGCGACCCTTTGATCAACTTGCTGCCGCTCCTTGGCATCGTGCTCGTCATTCTTGTGGCAGTTGTGGTTGAACAACTCTGCTTTGAGCCCACCCTCTTTCATGACGGACACACGGACAATATGCTCTTGTTCGCCGCGCTTGTGCTGCCTTTAGCATGGTTGCTTTATGGATATGTTGGCGCAGGCCCAAGATTGACAGTACGCACAAACAAGCACAGCATACCGTGAGTGCATGCGAGGTTTCTGAGCTTTGGAAACCCACAATGCCTTACCCGGTGCATCAAATCTACATGAGCACGTCTCACAGGAGCACCGCTGTTGGTGTTCTTGCTCAGTTGCTTAAATACCCATGGCTGCATGGGCAATCCAGAAGTTGCTTGATTTTCGAAGTTTTGCAAATTACATGCGCATATCCGGGAGGGATACCTTCTGCCTTCCACCTGACTTCTAAATTACAAAAGACTCAAGACGTCTACTTGTCGCCAGCTCTGTAGCTTAATTATGTTCGTTGTGAGTAACAGGTACCGGAAAGGAAGCCATGTTTTTCAGCAAGCTGCAGCACATTGCTGCATCAGAGGCAATTGCTTCTTGCTTCTCTGCAATAATTCTCAGAGCCGCGCACAGACGGCTGCGCTGAACCAGCTCCTTCAAGATCATGGCGAAAGAGTTCTCACCATTGGCGAGTTTTGGCTAGCCTGAGCCCGCGAAACCGTAAAGCCGCTCTGGATTGCATGAGTAAATCCAAAACCCTGAATCCTGTCCCAAGAGGGCTTTCCGCAGCTCACATACCGGCAGGTGGTGAAGAACCCGAAAATTTAAACCCTCAGACCTGAGAAGGTATGCACATCCTGAGCTTCAAAGCCAGAGACTATGGGCAAGAGGCGTTACCTCTCCGATAGACACCCCCCCCGTAAGCTGTGAGGCAGCCCTGAACTCTAAATCAGAGATACTACATTCATGCAAAAGCATCAGGCAGCATTGAGTTACGACGGCCCCGTCGGAAGGCGCGTGGGAGGCGAGGATGACGTGGTTGGCTGCTACAAGCAGGCACTTCGTCGCTCAGGGCCCAGGGCTCCTGAAAGTTACCATTAGGGCCTTAGGGCTTGCAGGGTTTAGGGTTTGGGGTTTAGTGCTAAAAATCAGAAGTGGGATTCGGGCTCAGGGCTCTTTGGGTTTTGGATTTGGCTGAAGGGTGCTGTGGTGAGAGGTTTGGGAGTGTTGGGCTTCAGTTTAGGAGTTTAGGGTGCTGCTGCGTCAAGCCTTGAGTTCTGGATGCAATCCGAAACGTCAAGGCAAGAAGGATCATGATTCCGACATATGCAACCTTAACGCCGAAATAGAACAAATTGGATCCCAAGCCTTGACACCTCGCTCAGCTCCAAACAAAACCCTTTGCAGTGAGGCTCCTGCCGGCAGTAGGGCTCCCGTCAAGTTCCTTCAAGATGTCTACGTCGATAAGAGAGGCTACTGTAAGGAGAAGCTTGGTAGCGGCTTTACGATAGATGGAGGTAGCTTGATTTTAATACCAATGTCCTAGAGAGAACAGATTCGAGTTCAGCCTTTGAAACATGCTCCAAGCAAGCTTCGCCGGGCGCAAGCATTCCAGCATACGCTGCAGTTCATCGCAAAGCCTCATCCTCAAGTCCCCCAAGACGCTTGAGCCACGAAATTTGCTGCGCTGAGTTCGTACTTAGCCCGCCTGGAAGGCGGTTGAGCGGGAGGCCAAAGCAATCGAGAAGGCCCCCGAGTAAGGTTTCGGATTTTGTGCTTCCTACACTAATTAGCCTTAGAATTTTGGGTCTAGTGCTGGGTGGCTTCCAAGACTTTCTGACTCGCGCGGTGTCCGTTCTGAGTTTAGGTCTGTAGCAGAAGTGAAGCCCTCTCCTGCAGGCGCCCTGTATAGAACCCTGGCCCTTAAGGGTTTCGTGTCGAGGGTGTAGAATACTAGGTTTTTGGTTTCAGGCTGCTTACCCCAAGAGTACGGAAGACGAGCACTTGCTAGGGGAGTCTTGCAACTGGGCAGAAAGACACTGAGCGGTCAAATCCGGAGGCTTGAAACTGCATTTTACCGGAGGCCTCAACAATCCGTATGTGGAATCTGCATCCTGGCTCCCCGCGATGCTGAATGGTTTTTTACTGGGGTTTAGGGTGTAGTGGTTTAGGGTTTAGGGTTTAGGGCATACAAAGATACACCCAAAACCCTAAACCCCCTAAGCCCTAAACCCTAAACCCAGAGACGCAATTTCAAGTGAGAATGACTGGAGCCCCTGTGCCTGTGAATGCAGCGTGCATCGACGACGAAGATGCTAAAACCCCAACATGTCGGCACCCAGCCGAACACCCGTAGGCACTGACCCCGTAGGACTGACCAAGGCCGTCAACAACATCGCTGGAACCCAAAACCCCGAACCCTAAACCCAAGTTCCAGCCGGAACCCCTATGGTGGCTGTAGGGCTTTGGGAGACAAGGGTTCAGGGTTTAGGGTTTAGGGGCTTTGGGAGAAAAGAGCTTTGCCATTCATAGTGGATGCCACAGGCTACTATAAGAAATACAAGTGAACGGAAAGCATGAGGGTTTAGGGTTGGACGATAGCCTGGCAGGTGACGCATGCCGGGGCCTTGGCCTTTTCTGGGTTTAGGCTTTTGGGCATGGTGACCTCTCGGACCATCGCGACAGTGAAGAGAGGCTACCGGGCAAACTTCAGAGACGCTGGAAGAAGCACTAGTACGTGAGTATTAGGGTTTGGGGTTTAGGGTTTATGAGGATTAAACAGCCCCTTCTGCACCCCTCTCCCCCTGCAGGATCCCATAGCTACACCAGTGCACGAGCGAGCCATGGGTCATGGCTTAACCGGTTTCTTTGCCTCAAGCCTGCATTGAAGGCTTCTCGCAGAACTGGGCCACCTGCTCCCTGAACCCTAAACCCCAAATCCTAAACCCTCTCCCGCCTCCTTGTGATGGTGTCCCCCAGAGATCCCAAGGAACCTCTAGAAGAACCCCATGGTTTAGGGTTTAGGGCTTTGG